CGGTGAATCCTCTACCATATAAATACTGTCTGAAGTGTTTCACAAATGTCACCACTGCTAAAAGTTCCTTCCGTGTGACACAATATTTCCTCTCTGACTTAGAAAGGCTTTTACTGGCATATGCTATAGGCCTCTCAACCCCATCCTGTAACTGTGATAGTACTGCGCCGACTGCCTCGTTGCTGGCGTCTGTATCAAGGATAAACTCCTGCTCAAAGTTAGGAAAAGCCAAGATGGGAGCTGTTGACAACTCTTTCCGTAACTTGTCAAAGGCGCTTTGGCACTTGTCATCCCATTTGAAGACCGTATTTTTCTTTGTTAGTTCGTGCAGAGGTTTGGCCACCATAGCAAAATTAGGAACGAATCTTCTATAATAGCTACAAAAGCCTATGAATGACCTTACCTCTGTAATGTTCGAGGGGACAGGCCATTTTTTCACTGCCTTTATTTTCTCAGGACTGGTGGCTATACCCTTTTCCGATATAAGATGTCCCAAATATTCGACCTCCTTTGCAAACAGTGTACATTTGCGTGCTTTCAACTTTAGGCCTGCAGCCAACAAACGGTCGAACACTTGTGTCAAATTCAGTATCATGTCTTCTATTGTCTTCCCTATCACAATTATATCGTCTAGGTAGACGAGGCAGATATTCCACTGTTGATTTCTCAGAACTGTCTCCATTAAGCGCTCGAAAGTGGCCGGGGCGTTACAAAGCCCGAACGGCATCACTTTAAATTGGTACAAGCCCCGTCGGGTTACAAATGCTGTCTTGCTTCGATCCTTTGGCGACATTTCTACCTGCCAGTAGCCGGAGTTCAAGTCAAGAGTGGAAAACCACTTGACTCCAGAGAGTTGGTCCAAAGAGTCGTCTATCCTTGGGAGCGGATAAGCATCCTTAATAGTTCTTTCATTAAGCTTTCGATAGTCAACGCAGAATCTTGTTGAACCATCTTTCTTTTTCACTAAGACGACTGGTGACGACCAGGGACTCACTGATTCTTCTATAACGTCTCTTCCCAACATGTCGTCAACATGTTTGTCTACCTCTGCTTGCATGTGAACAGGTAAACGCCTCGGACGCTGTTTGACAGGAGATGCTTCTCCTGTATCGATACTATGCTCTGTAACATTTGTCTTCCCTAGATCTGCATCAGATGCAGCAAACAACTTGGAATATTGCAATAGCAGCTTATGAATTGATTTAGCATTCATAGCGTCCATACCCTCTACTGTTCTGTTGTACAGGTCCTTAATATGTTCTGGCATTCTCTGTCGTTTGGAAAAGTCTTTAGAATCCTGTACACCAGCATACACATTTTCAATGGGTGACATATTAGCAACCAATGTCCCTTTATATACCGTTTGAACTTGATCCGACAAGTTAAACATTCTTACTGGTGCTACTTTCTCCCCTTTTACAATGGCTCTAGCTACTAAAGCACGGTCAGACTCAATGAACCGATTCGCTGGTTCTACAAGCCCAACTTCTGGGACCTTTTCAAATATAGAAGGTGTAACATTGCACATTGCGATAACTTCACTACCTGGTGGTATGCAAAGATTGTCAGCCAACGTGACCCGACAACAACCAACTTTTCCTTCAAGATGTATGTCATAATGGTTACCACCAACTTCTAGTAACAAGGATTTCATATTCAAGTTACAATTGTGGTCCCTCAAGAAATCCAAACCAAGAATACCGTCTACCCCTATTTGAGCTACTGCAAACATTCTCTCGAAACTCTGATTTCCCAACTTAAAGGGAATTAAAATCGAACCATCCACTTTAAGAGGTGAGCCGTCAGCAGTAACTATTGGCTTCCGCAATTCATTAAGTTTTGAAGAAGACCCAACAACAGAATGAAGGATCTCTGAGGATAGAATGCTAATGGTTGCCCCAGAATCTATCAAAAATCGGACAACCTTGCCATGAATTGAAGCATGTATGAACATCCCTGCCTCGCCAACTTTGTAACTAACTCCCGATTTGTTTGGCCCTTTGTTTTTATCAACTTCTCGTGATGATGCAGATGCACCCGTTTTGTTTCCAGCCTTACCCAGAGATTTTAAGTAACTGAAGCACTTCGCCTTAATATGTCCTTCCTTCTTGCAGAAATGACAAACAATCTTAGGTTTACGACCAGTATCTTGAGGTAGTGTCTGTCTACTTCTGGTATTGCTAGCCTTTTCGTCTTTGAGAATTTTTATCTCCCTCTGTAGGTCTACCACAGCTTTGGTCAATATGGCAATCGGATCTGACTTCTCAGGTTCTCTTTGTGTAGCCCTTGCATACGTTGGACTTTCATGCATACGTTGGTCAGCAGCACTGAATGCGTCCAATTCCACGGCATGCCTTACAGCGTCGTTTAAATCTACTGGCCTAGCTTGCTTAACTCTTAACCGCATGTCTCTATCACGTAGGGCATCTATAAATTGTTCTTTAGCAAGCGTTTCCCTCACTTCAACTGGCGCGGTATGGTAAGCTAAATTTGTTAGCCTCCTTATATCCTGTCCCAATTCCGGCAATGATTCTGAAGGTTTTTGTCGCCTCTGACGCAGCTGAGCTCTATACAGCTCCGTCTGATTCGTTGGGGAGAACCTCTCCTCCAGTGCTCTACATAGTAACCTATAATTGCACTTCTCTCCTTCAGGTAAATTGCCCAGGACACCTTGCGCCTGGCCTCTTAAAGATACTGCGAGGTGCATACCCATCTCTGTTGTTGTCCACTTATTAAGGGCAGCACATATTTCAAAATGCGACTTGAAGTCCAGCCAGGATGAACTGCCGTCAAACTTGTCTGCTTTCACACCTGTACGGACAGCCTCTGTGTCATTTTTCTTTTGGCGTCTTCTTGTAACATTGTCTGCATGAAAATCATTGAGTACTGCCGGGGTATCAATGAATGGCGTGCTGGATACTTGCTTTGGCTTGAGGCTTGTCTGTTTATCTTCCGTTAGTGCAAAGCTTGGCTCGTCATCTTCGAGGAAACTGGTAGTCTTCCTTATGTGTTTAGGTGTTGCACCAGTCCCTTTGTATGACCTATCACCTAATGTTGTACACCTGCTTTCAGGTATGCCTGAATCATTGGCGTTTGCCATCTTAGCTGTTTCTGACAAGCTGTCTTGTAAGCTCTTTAATTCCTTCTCAACAGCAGCCATCATATTTTTACAAAACAATCCAGCAATAAAATACAAAACAAAATTTACAAATAAAAAATCAACCAATAATCAGAATTTACAACCGAGATCCCACCGCTGCCACCAAATTTTGTAACGTGTTTAAGGGGTCGTACCTGGTTGATTCCACGATCTCGGTAAAGATGATATTTACAATAAATAATTTTCCTTTTAAAAATGATTGGTTAAATGATTGGCCTGCAAATATATACAGATATGGCCCTTCCCTTACTTAGGGGGAAATCACAATTGATTGTCGGCCTTATATTTACAAAATCACTGGTTCGCCCAATAGCACCGGACTGACACCAATATTGCCTTATTCGGGCTCGTAGTGTCAGTCACGCCGCTTTGTCCAATATCCTAGTGGTCAGCCTCTAACAACAGAAGACACTGAATTGTCCTTATTCAGGACGCACAGTCATCCACTGTTATCAGAGACTTCCACTTTCTTAAAAGCTTACCAGGTAAGCCTCAAGCGGGTTGACGTTCCTCTAAACGGTTAGTCAAACAATAATACAATACACCCTATTTATTGTGGCAAGCCTTCGTCGTCAGGCAATCCACCCAGTATTGTTAAACAGTTGTGGCAAGCCTCAATATTTGGCAATCCACCCGACTAACCTTATCTCCTGAACTTCAGTCTTCTTCGCTCTGCTACTTGGACTAAAAGAACCCTGCAGCTTAGCTGCGCTTGCTTATATACCTTTGTTTAAGTCACATGATCAGCTAAGGTCACATGATCAGTTCAGCCAATCAGAGATCTCAAGGCCCGACTTGCATAATTGGAATACACAAACCCATTAATTGTTACATTAATCTTTGATATATAGTTTGAGTATACATTTGCTGGCTGAAAACATCTGCATGGTCAGACCAATAGGAGTTCGCATACCTATGGCCATGCAAAATTAATTACTTGGTTCTCAGGCCTTTTTTCAAGAAATATGATGAGGGAGGGAGGCATTTTTTTTTCTTTTTTATTGCCCCCAAAACATAATGAGGCAGCTTTTTACATTGTACAAAACCTCAAAAAATGACGAGGGAGGTGATTTGGTGTTTTTATTTTATTGATTTGGCAATAAAAAGGGTCAATGAGGCACCCTTGGAAGAGATGAGGGAGGGCCTGAGAACCAAGAAATTAATTTTTTTTTGCCTATCAATTTTACCTAAATTTTCTGTTAATTACAAAAATACATAATACCCATAATAATAACTACCCCTACATCATAGGAACTTAATTGATTTTTATAATTCTAAAATATCAAGATGACAAATCAATGAAATTTTCACTTTTTAAGAATGCCCAAATTCCTGTCAAATCCTGATCAAATGCGCCCTCATTCTTTAAACAATTGAAAGACTTTCTGTGATGCTTGTTATTAGACTGCTATTCTAGCTGATTTTAAAGCATAAATCCAAGTCCTAAATCGAATTTGAAGCTGCTCCTCAAATTTTCTTCACTAATTAGTTGTGTTTTCATGAATTCCACTTCAAACTTTCTTTTCTGCTAACCTACTGTATAAGCGTTTTAACAATTATATGTAAATGAAAACTTTCCTTCAGATGGAGAGAAGCTTTATTTCTCATTTTATAAGCTTGGAAAATAAAGTTGTCCATAAGAAACTTTACAAGTACAGTAAAACTCACTTAGTATGAACATGGACATTGCCAATTCACAGGTTTAGGAAAATTTTCTTGCATCCATGCACAACTATATAAATTTTACACATTCCTTTAACGAGCTTCATTATAACTCAGTTTTACTGTATGACCAGCATCTAAATATTTTAAGATCGTAAAAAAGCAAAAACAAAAGCAATTAAGACTCTTAGGTTTATTTTATCCTTTGTAAAATTGACCAATACCGGTACATGTACAGGTACCTCCTTTTCCTAGCACACTTAAAACATTGATAGAAATCCATTCATTTTTCATTATATTAAGTAGAAACAAATACAATGTGTTTTAAATATTTGTAAAGCAACATTTTTTAGAAAGTTCAGCAACTTTTACAATTGCGCCAGTGCTTTCTCTCTTACATAAACATTTAAATTTCACGATATGATAATTCTTAGTACCTGTTAAGAATACCTCTGAGACCTTTTTCTTAGAATTACAATGTACTTAAAAAATAAACCAAAGTTTTCATGTAGCATTCCTCATAAATCAATTTACATTTTGTAACCTGCATATTTCTTCGATGTAATTATCACCATTTTGCCCAAACAATAATGTGAATAATCCTGGGTATTTTTTGTTCAAAATGCCCATGATCATTTTAGGTACCACATAAAGAGATACAAATTGTTTGTAAAATCAGAAAGTTCTCAAGAGTTCAACAGAAGTAGACACATGTTTGATAGCACAATCCATCACAG